CCACGTTCATGTGTTCCCCTCAGGATGTCAGTACTGGAATGCACTGGTTGTGGCCCAAGATTCACTCCTGCCGGTACTGGTGATCACAGTGTGATCTGGGTAAGGTGTGCATGCTGATTTCTGTAGGAAGATCATGTGAGATGCAGCTTGCTTGCTGGCACTATGTCCTCACCATTATCATCCTGTTTCTGAAAAAAACCCCAAAACTTCAAGTTTGCTTAAATCTGACCAAGTGACCTTCTATTGCTCTGGCACCTCCTTCTAATGACTCAAAACTTCCAACCACAGAACTTCTGATTCACTCATATGTGTGCAAAAATCCTACTTACGGGCTTTTGCCAGTGGCAACCAAGATGAAAAAGCTGTTTGTGGAAATGAGAAAGACACGATGATGTGGAAGAGGGAAATATAACAACCAGGGCATAATCTAATTCTACAAGAATGAATTCTACTTTCAAACCTCCTCAAATTAAATTTAAATGAAGAAAGTATTTCCTTAGAACACATTTCTCATATGAAGCAGCCACAACTCTCCTGATTCTGAGTGCCTAAATAAATATATTGCACACACCACTTTTAATAAGAATAGATTTTTCCATTTTATCTTTGACCATTTATAGCAAGCTCCAATTGTACCGCCATCTCGCCCATATTTTAGGTCACTCTGGGCCTATATTTTACACCTTTAACCAAATTTTATTTGTTTTCATGTTAGTAGCACGCAGCAACAGAGATGTCCAAAACCACTACCCCTCCTTTTATACTGAAATAAAGACCTCAATGGCAGGCCATGGGGGGACATGAAAAAAGGATGCCAAAATACACTATCTCTTTCCTCTGTTAACACAGCACCATTAATTGGCTCCCTAACTGGCTGAAGTTTAAAATCCACAGACAAGCATGGTGAATTTTTACTGTTAGAGGAAACATTTTGTTCACTTAGTATTGGAAACCTAGTGCTTCCTCATTACAAATCCAACACATTTGCAATGGAGATATCCCAGGGGTAGAATAAAGGAAACCAAATGAAGCCTGAAGCAGACTGCAAACAAGGAAGCTGAAACAACTGCTGGATGTTGTTAGCTCTTCCACACATATTCAAGAAACACTCTTAGCATATAGAAAGCTGAGTATTACCTGGATTTTCCTGCATGAGAATGGTTCAAAGCTGCATTAGGGGACATGTAGCCTGGACAGTAAGAAGCATTTCTTTACTGAGAGGATGGTTAAACACTGGGATAGGCTCCCCAGACACATGGTTGTTGCCCCAAGACAGTTGCATCTGGACAGTGCCCTTGATAACACACTTTAACTTTTGATCAAGTGAAGTGGTCAAGAAGCTGAACTGTATGAACATTTATAAGTCCCTTCCAAATGAAAAATTCTCTTCTATTTCTATTTTATTCTAGCCCATCCCATCTCTAAACATGTGATGCTTATTTTTCACAAACATTCTTTGCTACTTCTAGCTGCCCCATTTTTATTTATGGCTAATTATAAAATGTCAGTTCAGGTATGCTCTGACACCTTTCTCATCCACAGAAACTGGACTTTTAGTTTTGTGTACAAGGCTCCCTCTTTTCCCTGCTGCAAGGGGAAGGTTTCAGAGCAGCTCTTGTGACAACCTAAATGACCCCAACATGTTCCTGGTCATTTTGAAAGTCTGACATTTCCTTTTATCACTAAATAAAAACCCTGCATTAGTCACAAAATCTGTTGCCAAGAGAAGGTTCTAATTGCTTCTCTGCCAGCAGGAATGAATGCTGAGAACTTTCAACTTTTTATATGCATGATATTAGCACATTCATAATTGTATCTTGGAAAAAGAGGAAGCTGCAGTCTATGGATAATGTTCAGGTTAAGTACTTCAGTAATCTGCTACCATCTGACATTCACACACAAAAAAGTCAATGACTTCATTTAATGATTAAAATTAGTTTGGTTTTGTATCAGACTTGGCTTAAGAAGGATGAGCTGGATTAATTAAGAAATTATGTTTAATTTATAAGCCACTTCTTCTTGAATTAACTAACAAAGATCAGGGGGAGAAAAAAGTCAAAAATCCCAGAAATCTTTTTTAAAACAGAAGAGATAATTGTGACTTACTGCCCTGCATTCAGAGGACATGAGAATGAATCTGACACCTGCTCATCTTTAGCCACAGCTCAGAAACTACTTATTTCCTGAATGGATATTTAAATGACAGTATCAGTCTGGACTTTACAGTTTGCTTTTGAGCTGCATCACTTGGATTTATGGCCTGCAAGACATATCAGGTGCAGAGCTTATGTGCAATCCATCACTTCCCAACTGGTACAATAAAGCCAGAAAGATACTTCACCTCCTTCAAATGAGATTTCTGACCTTTCTCAGAACCTGCACAGACACTGAAGTTCAAGTGTAACCCCATTTAGGAAAGAGAAGTCCAGAGGCAGCAGCATGTCATCCTGCAGAGCACAGGAAGGGAGCTCTATCCATGAGCAGCTCCAGAATCAGGGTGTTACACCCTGCAGGACCACCTTCTGCGCTCAGGGCACAATGTGTGACCAGCAGCACAGCATCTCACCCACTCACCTAACTAAAAGGCTTAAGGGTGTGGGGGAAAAGAGGGGTTTTATATCCAAATATTGTGTAAACACATACTTCTTAACAGTTCTCAGAAGCACTGCAACTCCCTTCCCCTTACATCTCAAATACCCAATACCAAACACCAACTGAACTGCTGCTACTTTGAGCTGTCCTCAAGCAGGGTAGCGGACAGCATCTGTGGGTAGCTGAGAAGGACTTCAGCATCCCTGAGGTAATGGAGTTTGTATTTTGAAGACCAGGTGTCCTCCCAATACAGAGGTACCAGAGTATCAAAATTAGACAATGCAGTTAGTGACACAGAGTGTCCCCTGTGCCAGGCTGATTCCAGCACATGCCAGACACAAACTGCACTGCTCACCTTAAAGGTGTCAGGGTTGTACTGTGACACAAACACATGCCAGTGAGTGTGTCTAGAAGTGGGTTGTGTGGTATCTGCCCTTGAAAACTCAGCAGAACAAGACGAGTAGATGGGAAGACACAACCAGAAATCAAGAAATACCCAGTCGGCCTTTCCAGCAGTTTGGTAGAATTCATGCATTTGATCACCAAAAGCAAACACAGAGCTTTCATCTACACTGACAGGTACAGCATGTCCCAGAGAAGTGCCCTAACACTAAAACATTTGTCACTGAAGTTTTAATAAAATCTCATCCACCTCTATTTTTGCCAGAAGAAAACCCAAATAATTCATCTTAATTACTCTGAAAGTATAACAAGTTCTAAACCATGCAGACTCAGTTTACTGAATTCAGGCCATGGAGTAATTGACTTTTCATTCTACTTGCCTTTGTTTTAGTAACTAGTGCTGAAACTGGCAACTAGTGATGAAGACTATTTCGGGAGGATAAAAATCTGGATTGGCCAGAACCAGTGAGAACAAAACAGGGTATTTGAATTTATTTTTTTTTTAGACAAGCACCAAAGCATTAACTATTTCCCCTCATATGAGCATGACTGATTATTAGCTAGTTATATGAAATAATTTAATGCACAAGTAAGCCAACACATGCTATAGCTACTCTGCTTGCACCATCTGCACTGTTACTATACAGATGCAGAGATCTAACAGGAGTACACTAAAACCCCCATTGTGGAAGTGCCACTCCACCTGTATTTTCAAATGCACCTTAAGCACAGGTAGGGCAAAGAATGTGACCACAGCAGCAGAGAGTTGTTTGCTGACACACATTTCTAGTACACGGAGAAGACTGCTACAGCAGCTCAGCATGCTGAAAGCCTAGCAGGATCTATGAACACAAAGTTCATGGGAATTCAGCAGTTCCCCTTCCTTTTTTTTCTACCAAGTAACTCAAGGGAGGCAGCACATCGAGCTATTTTAAGATCATTAAGGGTGAAACCCACGTAGTTATTTTAAAACACAACAATGCAGCTAAACTGCATCAACGCTCACTCCAAAGCCCGAGTCTGAGGCAAGGAATTCACAAGCACTGCACAGCCGAGTTGAAACAAAAGGGTGCAAACGCGAGACAGCAAAGCATTGCCCCGCTCCCCAGGGCACTTCACGCAGGCACAACTTTCCCTGCCGAGCCCCGCTGCCGCTCCAGCACCGCGTCCCCAGCAGGCCGGGATCCTCGTTCTTAAGGCACGCGGGCAGAGGCTGTGACACAGCGGCAGCAGCTCTTGGAACCGGGCAGGAGGCGGGCGGGATGCAGCCGGGATCGGGCGGGCCATCCCGCCGGCAGTGCTGCCGTCGCTGCGGGGCAGGAGCGCCGCGGAGCCTCCGGCGCTCACCTGGCACCGGCGCCCGCCGGCGGCCGAGCCCGGGGAGCCGCGGCAGCCGCGGCCGGGAGCGCCCTGCCCGGCCCTGGCGCCCGTCCCGCCCGTGACTCCGCCGCCCAGGAATGGCGACCACCGCGCCCAGGAGTAGCCCCCGAACCCCCCGGGACTGGCTGCCCGCGCCCGGGACCGACCTGCGGGGAGCGCCGCGGCCGAGGCGGGGTCCGGCGGGCCGGGGGTCAGCGGCGCAGGGGCCGGGGGCCGCTCGCACTCGGACGCGGCCCGGGCACCGCTGCAGCCCCTCCGGCCGCTCGGACCGACCCGCGGCCCGCCGCGTCCTCTGCCTGCTGCAGCTCCGACTTGTTCCCGGCTACTCACCCAGGCACTGCCACCGCCGGGCTTCCACCAGAGCACGACGCCTTCCGCTCGGGAAACTTATCTCTCTCCCGCTACTGCCATTTGCTAACTTGCCTAAAGATCCTGCAAAATCCCAGAAAAGGCTAGGAAACCAGAGGAGACGACTTAAAAGCTGACGGTCAGGACAGGAATTTGTGGAATGAAATCTTTAAGGGCAGGAGCAGATAGAGCCAGCCAGCTAACGCTTTCATGCCCTGACTCTGGCCAGCAGCTTCATTTCGTGGGCAGAGCAAGGCTTAGGACATGATTTAAAATACCTGCTCCTGGCGTGTTCCTCTGTGCATCAGCCGGAGTCCCGGCGCAGCCAGCACGCTGCCGTGCCTCTCCTTCTGCCTTTTCCAGCAGACCCCTCACGATCACGGTGTCACGGTTCCCCAGGCCTTACAATCAAGCAGTTTGTTGTAAGGGAACTAAAAATAGCACTGAATTTTTCACTGGAGCACTTGCTTGAGTGAAGATAGTGCCAGTCAGCCCATGCATTAGTGAGCCGTACAGACCTCTAATACAGCCCAAATCCTCTTGGAAATACAGCCATTGACTTTTTTCAAAAGATACTTTTTCTTTTTTTTCTTCTTTTTTTTTTTTTTTTGAAAGACAGCACAAAATAAATCTTTCTGACCACTAAAAGACGAACTGAGTGGGATTGTTTTAAGAATATCCTTGGGAAAGAGTGAGTCACTTAAGCTGCTTTTATGATAAAAGATCCCTGGAGGAAGTATATCTCCTTAGTCTCTGAGCCGTTCAGAGATCCACATGTCCTCCTGCAAATCAAAGTTTCACAGTTAGGTTTGTGTTGTTTGTAATAGTATGAGCACCTGCTTCCACTGTGGAGTTAGGACTAGCATGGGAAACAGCAGGATTTTATCCTGGCCAACACCTCAAGAAGATCACTATCAGAAGCATATGTCCTGAACGGCACTGAGTAAGGTCTGTAAAAAAGTCTACAAAATGGCCCATAAGGAAAGTTTATGGCACAGGCTGACCAGCCCAGAAAAAAAATTCCCAGGAGGAATTATTTTTTACAAAGCTTTTCATTGCTGTGTCCTGAAAAAAATCATGAGGACCAAAGTTGCAGAAGATGTCATTCAAGACAAAGATGCCAGGGCTGCTGCCAATATCTGAGCTGGGATGGCAGATGCAGATTTGAATGTAAAACCTCCAGTCTGTGGATACCAGCCTCACACTGTGTCGCACAAAGAAATGGGAAGGGGCAGCAGCCACTTGTGGCATTCTAAAAGGCTGGTAAAGCCACAGTGATTCTCCTGGTAGCTGCTCCAGCCGTGAAGTAACTAACAACAAGCCAGGATGTCTGAACCACAGCAAGTTAAGTCTTATTAAAATACATATATATTATATATTATATATTATATTATATTATATTACATATTATATTTTAAAGGAAGATTTTAGGATAGCAGTAAACACTAAAAAGTTGGAGACTTACTGGGAATATCAGAGGAGAGACGCTGGGTTTTGTTTCATTTTCGTATGAAGAAGTTGACCGTCTGGTAATGCAAAATTGTCCCACACTTGTTTCCCTTCATAAGCCTTTGAGCATTCCTTGGAGTTTATTTGTTCTGCAGCAGAATTGCAATATTTTTGCCCCTGTGAAAGGGCTGGCAAATTCTTTCTACTCTTTTCTAGTGCTGACCCAACATGCTGGAAGGCATCATATAACATCATGTAGCAGCAGAGGTAGCCACAAACATAACAGTGTTATGTCTTCATTCCTGCTCCACTCGCCAGCTATTATTTATAGAGAGAAAGAGCATTAACCCAGCACAACGTTCTCACTAATTTAGTCTCACTTCACCATCTGTTACTTCCCATGAGTTGATCCTAATGTGAAAGTACTTCAAAACACATTTGAGGACCAGCTGCACCCAGTGAAGTCACCATAGGAGAGAAATATTCCCCTCCTAATACATCATATTCCAATGTTACAAAGCAGCTCCTTCCCTACCAAAATCCATGGGAACACTGCTGTTAATATGAACACAGCCCTAGGTCACACATTCTTGCAGTCATGTTGAGCAAGTATCACACTCAACATTGTTTTTCTGAATAAGTCACAATTCTACTCAGTTGAAAGGGCAATGAGAGAGTTACAGACATCACCCGTCCCCCAGGTCTGAGCAGCCTGCTTTCTGGAGCTGCTTCTCCTCCAGTGAGTTCATGGAATGATCACAGAAATTGGAATCTCCCCAGGAATAACATGTGACCATTACCCCTCACCTTTTCCATGCAACTCCTTGTAAAAAGAAGTCTCCATCTTTATAGGCACTCTTTAAATACTGGAACATGGTGATATAAGGCCTCCCTTAAGCCTTCTTTCCTCAGTGCTGAACAAACCCATCTCTCTCAGCCTTTCCTCATATGGCAGCCTTCCCAGTCCTTTGATCATCTTTGTGGCACTTCTCTGGACCCCCTCCAGCTTGTCTACATATTTTTGTATTGTGGGGACCAAAACTGAACACAGCATTCCAGGTGTGGCCTGACAAGCAATGAGAAGAACTGGATAATGATCCTTTTATCTCTGCTGGTAGTGCACTTGTTGGTGCATCCCACCATCCCATTGGATCTCTCCCACAGCAGCACTGTTTGCTCATACTGAGCTTGCTGTCCACCAGGACCCCTTATGCCTTTTCCACAAAGCTGCTTCCCACCAGGCAGATCACACACAGACTGTGGTGCACCCCTGGATTATGTTTTTTCCAAGGTGCAAGACCTTACACTTGGCCTTGTTGAGCTTCATAGGGTCCAGGTTACCCACTCTTCCAGCCTATCCAGCTCTTCCTGCAGGGTGGGTCTCCCTTCTGAAGTGTCCCCTTCCCTACTTGGTTTGGAACCACTGGCAAACCTCACCAGGGTGCCATCGCCTCACCACACCTCACCACTTGGTCCCATCACACCGATCACTTGTGGGGATATTAAACAGCTTTGGGCCCAGTATCAATCCCTGCTGGACCCCACGTGTGACAGGTCACCAGCCTGAAGAGGAGCTGTTTACCAGCACCTCCTGGGTGATTCCTGCCAGCCAGTTCCCCACCCGCTGCAAGGACCACTTGTCTAGACCATAATGTGTCTGTTTGTCCAGGAGGAGGCTGTGGGAAACCATATGGAAATCCCTGCAGAAATCCAGGTAAACAATGTCCACTGCCTGCCCCACTGGGACCCAGCAGTTCCTCTGCCAGAGAAGGTGATCAGCTCTGTCAAGCACAACTTCCCCTTGGTGAATCCATCCTGGCTTTTCCCAATCCCCTGATTCATGTATTTTGTGATAGCTCCTAGGAGGATTCCTTTGGTGACTGTCCCAGGAACTGAAGTATCATTGATGGGCCTGTAATCTCTTGGATCCTCTGTTAAGCCCTCCTTGTATATCCAGGTGAGTTTAGCTCTCTTGTAGCCTTCTCTGATGTCCCCTGATCTCAAAGATTAGGGAGAGCAGACTCACAACAAAACCATCCAGCTCTCTCAACACCCTCAAATGGATATTATCAAGGCCCGCTGATCTGTGGTGTCAAGCTCCTGAAACAGTTCACACACCAACTCTTCCTCCCCGGACAGCAGTGGGTTTGTATTTGCACCAATCTGGATTGTTGTTCCCAAAGCGTAGGACCCAGCAGTGCTGGTGAGATGGAGGTGAAGAGAGTGTTGAGAACTTTTCAGTGTTGTTGGTGACTAATTCACCTCTCCTGTTTAAAAGCAAGCCAGTGATGCACAACAGTCAGCCACACTCCAAAGAGTCAGATGTTGGCTGACACCATGCATGGAAAGACGAGTGGAAATACTGGACCACAGCTGCCAAGATTTAGAGTTCACTACTGAACTTGCAATGAGATTGCTATTGCTAAGGCCCTGCCGACAGCTGAACCACATCACAGCAAGTATGCACCATTTTCCATTTGAATTGCTGAGGTTAAACCTCTCTGTCCTCCTGAGAAAATTCCTTCTGAACACCCACCTAAATCAGAGTACGGTGGTCCCATATAGTGGTGGGAGACACTACAAGATCAGTTTGGTTGGAAGCCAACCTGTAAGACTACTGCATATTTTGGTCAAAAGCACACGAGGAAGAACAATGCCCTGGAAAACAGCAGTTGTTTTTTAACTGCTGGAGACAAAATTCCAAGGCTTTGTGCAGTAGGATTCCTTATTACAAATCAGGTTTAGCCTTAATCCTCTCTGTTACTGTACCTAAGTGAATCAGCTGGGCTTGGGAGTGCACTGAAGAAACCCAGGAAAAAGTTGTGCCACAGAGTCCCTGGGTCCACTTGCTCTCCCCAGGGCTCAGAGGAGCAGAGTCTGAATGCAAGTTACCACTGCCTAGGTAAGTCACTGCTCCCAGTCAAAATTATGCTAGCAATAACCTCCTACCTTTCCTACAGTTAATAAAAAAGGAAAAAAACTCCTTCTGTTGCCTTTGTTGCCTCACAATTCTGTTCTCCGGGGCACCAGGGAATATTGAGAGCAGTATTTTGTAAACAGCACGTGTTGCAGTGGCTGGCGCAGCACTGGCCGCAGCACTGTGGGGCTGCGTTCCTCACATTGTTGGACACTGGTGGACACCAGGGCTGCCTGGGCAGGGAGCAGCTGTGTGTGTAGGTGGGCAGGGAACAAGGGGAGGGACAGCAACATGGGAAATGCAGCAACTTTGCAGCCTGCAAATGTCATGGTCCTGAGTGCAGCTCCCTGAATCCAGACTGTTCAACAAGTTTTCCTTTTGTGCCAGCTGGCTGAGGTAAGGGAAGCTGTTTTGCCAGACATTTTACTTTCTTCCCCAGCACCATGACCAGCAATAAATTAAATTTCTTAACTGACAAAACCAACTGCTTAGTGATTTCTGCTCTGCCTCTAAGGTTTGGCATCTGCCATTTGAAGTATCCGCTTCACATCCCACTGAAAAGATTCTTCCTTATTCCTGGAGAGACTGCAACTTTGCACACTGGAATAATTTTTAATACTTCATGTGACTTCAGAACAAAATCCTTTTCTTCACAGTGCGTGCTTAAATGGGATTTGAGCCTCTACTTCTCTTCACTTCTAGTACTTTATGGCAGGAACGTTTTCAGAGGTGCCAGCTGGGCTACACCCATGCAAAATGGGAGTAATACCCAGAAATGTGAATTAAGGATCACATGCTAACATAAATTTAGCTGTTGAGCATATCCCTTGTGTTTTATGACATCTGTTTAACAATATGACCACAGATGTATTAAAGAAGGAGGTATGGAGGAAGACAGCTATGCAGTGTAGGTACTTGCAGAACGCTACAAAGGGAATCTTTGAAGTACCTATAAATCCCCAACTGCTTAGGGAATTCAGTGTGACAAGAACACTTGGGGTTCTTTGTTTAAAGTGCCTAGAATATGTGAGGATGTCCAGATTTCGATCTGCCCTCCACTTTATCAGCAAGTCTCTTGCTGTCAATAAAATAATCTCTGCTGAAAGCAAAGCTGTCAGCTTGTCCCTCAACATTACAAAAGGCAGCATTACAGCAATAGGCATTACTAGACAGTCCTAGGAGAAGCTGAACTGTCCTTTCAGTTGCTCTGCTGGATAAAATTGCTGTACACATTTCATAGAGAGGTGAAAAGTCAGTCACACACACAAACATAACAGCAAAGAGGATGTTACAATCACAGAAATTATTTCCTCTGTGATACAGATGCAGCATCTGGTTTTGCATATTCCAGCACAAGAATAAATCTTCCAGAGTGCTTTCCTCCATTTCCTTCCAACTTCACTGCAGTCCAAATACAGTTCAGCTGATATGTAAGAAATTAGTCTTTCTCCATATGTTTGTGTATTTGGGCTTTGAATTGGTTATATTCGCGCAGCCCTCTGGGATGCCCAAATAACTCTGAATATCATGCTGAGATCTTCTCATGGCAGCTTCTGTCAGCTGTACCATGCAAAGGGCTCTCAGCTGCACACTATTTAACTTGCCCAATTACATTTTTGGCTGCTGTTCTGCCCTGCAGCTTAGAGAAACCCTCTCCAAGAGCTAGGTCACAAGAAAAAATTGCCGGAACATGCTATTTTTCAAAGAACCTATTCCTAGGGGGAATGGGAGATAGGACAAACATTGTGGCAGGTCTGGAAGAAAACGTCAGAAAAAAAAAAAATCACCATGAAATTGTAATCCAGAAGGACAACATCTTTTCTATCTTCCCCTTATATCTGGTTGTTATATTTGGAATGAACAGGTTCATAAACACAGATGCATCCACAAATTGCCCTTCAGATATTAACTCCCTTTCAGTTTTGATGCTGGAAAAGTATGGTGTTTGTGTGATGCATCTGTCTACTTGACATAAGCAAACACCAGCTGTTATTTCCTTGGTTTACGAAAAGAAGGAGTAAATAAAAATGTATTAATTAAACATGGAATTCAGAAAGCTCAGATGTGGATTCAAGACTTATTACACAATCATGTCAACTTTCAGTCAAGGAGAGCACATGGGACCTCTGCATCACAGTGAAATTCTAGTGACAGCAATATCTTGGTTTCATATCCAGAGAGGAAGTCAAAAAATAAGCAGAGGTTCTGAAGGTGAACATGGTTTTGAGGTTTCACCATGGAAAACAACCCTCCATGTGAGCCAGAAAAGCACATTATTTGCTCTTATATGGCAAGCAAAACTTCTAAAACTCTTAGCCTTCGAGAAACAGACAGCACATCCTCTGGGTTTGTTTCCCAGCAATTTTTCCAACAGCTCAGTGACACATGCACCAGGGAGATATAGTTCATCTGCAGCATCAGTTATGGATCCAGCTCTTCAAAGCTGTTCTCTCCTGGGTCATCAGTTCAAACACAGCCCTAGTCTGAGATGATT